TTTTCTCTAGTCTCTCATTTTCCTCTTCCCCATTTCTTTATTGTATATACAGTAACTGGTATATGCATAAATATATCACTTTTTAAAAAACTAAATCATGGCCAATGGTATGTTTTGATTGACACCAAATGGAAATTGGATGGGGGATATTACATTACTTCCCATAGAATACTGTAACATTTACAATAGTTTATTTCTATTTACTTCTCTTCTCCTGGCCTTTGTGCTATTGTTGTCATACAATTCGCTTCTATATCTGTTAATTTATGTATTAAGAATATATAAAACCATGACTACATTGTTTTTATTTTTGCTTAAATAGTACTTTGTATTTTTGCAAGAATTAAATAATAAAATACTGGGACTTCTCTGGTAGTCCAGTGGCTAAGGCTCTGAACTCCCAATGCAGGGGCAAGGATTCAATTCCCGGTCAGGGAACTAGATCCCACATGCCACAACAAAAACATGGGGCAGCCTAAATAAATAAATAAATATTAAAAAAGAAAATAGTATTATGTGTTAACCCTGTAGTTTCCATATTTGGTACTCTTCACTGCTTTGTGTTGATCCAGATATCGCTTTGTTATCCAAATACACATATAATAGGTCTCTTGAATTTGCCCTTCTACTCTGATTTTTGATTTTCCATTTTTAAAGCTAATTTTTTCTTCTGGGTCTATCCCAGTACAACAAACAGCAACAGCATCTGGCACACAGTAGGTGATTTCTAATCACATACCACCAAGCAGAATTCCTTGCACAAACCCACATCCATTAGCCTAGTCCTCACCATTTCTCTTGTACTATCATACCACACTCTTCCTCCACTCTCCACCAGTCACTTTCTATTATAGCACATTCTCACAGCATCACAAATGTCACACACAATAACACAATCACACACATGGTCACAGAAATGCACCATGTTCACCCCACCGACACACAGAGTTTTGCATTTTTGTCAACAAAGGTCTGTCTAGTCAAGGCTATGGTTTTTCCAGTATGTAAGGATGTGAGAGTTGGACTGTAAAGAAAGACGAGCCCTGAAGAACTGATGCTTTTGAACTGTGGTGTTGGAAAAGGTTCTTGAGAGTCCCTTCGACTGCAAGGAGATCCAGCCAGTCCATCCTAAAGGAAATCGGTCCTGGGTGTTCACTGGGACTGATGTTGAAGCTGAAACTCCAATACTCTGGCCACCTAATGCGAAGAGCTGACTCATTTGAAAAGACCCTGATGCTGGGAAAGATTGAGGGCAGGGAGAGAAGGGGACGACAGAGGATGGCATCACCGACTCAATGGACATGGATTTGGGTAGACTCCAGCAGTTGGTGATGGACAGGGAGGCCTGGTGTGCTGCGATTCATGGGGTCGCAAAGAGTCGGACACAATTGAGCGACTGAAGTGACTGATTCTCACTATGAAACACACAGACACACACAATGACAGAAAGAAAGGGTAGTGCGCCCACAAAGTCAGTCAGTTGACAGAAACTTCAAACAAAAAACTTGAAATATAGGGACTTCCCTGGTGGACCAGTGGTTAAGAATCTGCCTTCCAATGAAGGGGCACAGGTTGGATCATTGAAAAAGCAAGAGAGTTACAAAAAAACATATACTTTTGCTTTGTTGACTATGCCAAAGCCTTTGACTGTGTGGATCACAACAAAATGTGGGAAATTCTTAAAAAGATGGGAATACCAGACCACCTGACTTGCCTCCTAAGAAATCTGTATGAAGGTCAAGAAGCAACAGTTAGAACTGGACACGGAACGACAGACTGGTTCCAAATCAGGAAAGGAGTATGTCAAGGTTGTATACTGTCATCCTGCTTATTTAATTTATATGCAGAGAACATCATTCGAAATGCCGGGCTGGATGAAGCACAAGCTGGAATCAAGATTGCCAGGAGAAATACCAATAACCTCAGATACACAGTGGACACCACCCTTACGGCAGAAAAGGAAGAACGAAAGAGCCTCTTGATGAAAGTGAAAGAGGAGAGTGAAAAAGTTGGCTTAAAACTCAATTTTCAGAAAACTAAGATCATGGCATCCAGTCCCATTGCTTCATGGCAAATAGATGGGGAAACAATGGAAACAATGAGAGACTTTATTTTGGGGGGGCTCCAAAATCACTGCAAATGGTGACTGCAGCCATGAAATTAAAAAATGGTTGCTCCTTGGAAGAAACGCTTTGACCAACCTAGACAGCATATTAAAAAGCAGAGACATTACTTTACCAACAAAGGTCCGTCTACTCAAAGCCATGGTTTTTCCAGTAGTCATGTATGGACATGAGAGTTGGACTATAAAGAAAGATTAATGCCAAAGAATTAATCCTTTTTAACTGTGGTGTTTGAGAAGACTCTTGAGAGTCCCTTGGACTTCAAGGAGATCCAGCCAGTCCATCCTAAAGGAAATCAGTCCTGAATGTTCATTAGAAGGACTGATGTTGAAGCTGAAACTCCAATACTCTGGCCACCTGATGGGAAGAACCGACTCATTGGAAAAGACCCTGATGCTGGGAAAGATTGAAGGCAGGAGGAGAAGGGGACGACAGAGGATGAGATAGTTGGATGGCATCACTGAGGCGATAGACATGAGTTTGAGTTTGAGCTGGTGTTGGACAGGGAGGCCTGGCTTGCTGCAGTCCATGGGATCGCAAAGAGTAGGACACAACTGAACTGAACTGAACTGAAGGGAACTGGGATCCCACACCCGCGGGGCAGTGGGGCCCCTGAACTGCAGCTGCTGAGCCCTTGCTGCAGCAAAGACCTAGAAGGACCAAAAAAAGTAAAAACCTTAAAATACACTGTTGTTCTAAGCAGGTATAGAGTCAGTTTAAGGAGCCCTGGTGGCTCTGACTGCAATTCTGTAAGAATCTGCCTGAAATGCAGGAGACCCAGGTTCAACCCCTGGGTTGGGAAGATCCCCTGGAGAAGGGAATGGCAACCCACTCCAGTATTCTTGCCTCCAGAATTCCATGGACAGAGGAACTTGGCAGGCTACAGTCCATTGGGTCTCAAAGAGTGGGACACGACTGAGCGACTAACACAACAACAACAACAGAGCCTTGAAGTGTCGGGGAGCGGGAGGGGGGGTGGGCAGGTATGGGGGCGGGGAAGAAGTGTAATCAGGTAAGTCCTCTTGAGATACTATTTGTATCTGAATGTAGGGAGTAAAGAAACTTTGGAGATACCCGACAGAGGAGCCGTTTTAGGAAGAGGGGACACATTCACATCCACCATCACTAAATCACAAATTCAGGAATCATATGCAAAAGATGACACTCTACCCAGACCTCTCCACTCCTGTCTTCAAGGTAAACCATTCCCTGAGAAAGAACGCCCTGGGGAAGGAGGGACTGGGTGAAGCACTACGTACCTGCGCATTCCATTCCCAACTGCCCCATTCACACTTTCTTCAGGTCCCCCAGCTCAAATAGAGGAACTCACTCCTCACGCACTTTGTGTAGGCGCGCGTGCACTAGAGCGCGCCCACTTCGCTCCCCCCGCCCCGCCCCGGCCCCTGAGGCTAACAAGCGGTTTGTAACTCTCTGACGCGTTACTAAGGAAGGTGGACCGATCCCTTATGCCTGCGCCCTTCAATCTCGACCGTTTAGGGTGACGCTCGACGCAGTCTCTGTGGAGGACCCAGCCTCAGAGCTGAGAGGAATCGATCGAGACGTCCAGGTTCCTCCTTCAAGTCCAGGGAGAGATCCGCTTGGCAAAAGCTGGGGCAGAAGAGGTGGTGGTACAAACTCCCGGGGCAGTTGAACTTCAGGGCGCCGAGGCGTCTTCTGGTCAGGACTACATTTCCCAGTGGCCCCCGCGAGCACTGGGCCCGTTGCCCCTTTGTGTCCTCCGGAGGCCGAGTCGCCTCTTTCCGGGCCCGCGGAGGCTGGGTTCCATCGATTCAGGCCGGGAGGTGGGCCCGAGGAGAGGTTACGCGAGCCTTCCGGGCTGGGACCTGGTTTTCCGGCAGTTCGGTTCTGCAGGTAGGAAAGAAGCGGGTCACCCGGACGTTGGCCCCCTGACTTTCTGTGTGACTCTTCGTGTGAGACGGTGGTTGTTACCTTATGGTGTGTGAGCCTGTCACCCGCAGTGCCTGTACACATCATATCTATGTGACTCTGTGTGTGCGAGTGAACGATGGTTGGTGCCACAGAGAGTGAGACTGAGTTGAGGAAGAAGGATAGCTTCTGCCTCTCTTTTTCCTCTGCCCTCGGCTTCTTTGTGACTGGAGTGTGTGAGTGAGACCATCATAGTATTTGCGACTAGGGGCTATGGGTGAGGGTGACGGTGAAACTGCCGGTACCCATGGCTGCTGTGATCTGTGCAAGATGGTGGTTGGCGCTGTAGTTTTTAAGAATCTGTGAGTGAGTGAGTGAGTGTGTGTGTTTAGGAACAGGGGGACCGGATGAGACTCTTCTGCCACCAATATCTATTAAAGCTGGCCAGGTGATGCCAGTGTGCCACCAGGTTTCAGAACCCGCTGACCTAGGAATTCCCTGTTGGTCTTGTGGTTAGGACTACATGCTTTCACTGCCTTGGCCAGGGTTCAATCCCTGGTCAGGGAACTAAGATCTCCCAAACCACGCAGTGGTGGGGAAACAGAATCACTTACCTACTGGAGAGGAGAAGGAAAGTGGAGTCAGAAAGACCTTTATTTGATCTTGATACTGTTATTTATTAGCTGTGTCTTTATGCAAATGGTTGCATCACTTGGAGTTTTTAATTGTAAAATCTGGAACATTTCTTGTTAAAATAATGAATTAGGAAGTGATTTGGGCACAGGTTAAATTCTTTGCAAGCAGATTCCTAGGTCTCCATTATGCTTTCTAGTGGAGCGAAGGGTGCAACAGAGGAATGAAAAGCAGAGAAATTCTCAGCTGATGATTGTGGATGCTGCAAGGAAAGCCTAGTTTCTCATGTTCTCTTCCCCATCTCACTCATCTAAGGATACTGCCATTCCCCAGGAGAAGAGTCAAGGGGACTAAAGAATGGCTGTTGGACTTCTTAAAGCCATGTACCAGGTGAGTTGGTGTTTTCTCTTTCCTGAAATATTTTCCTCCTTTTTCAAGACAGGCAGACATTAATTTTCCTTCTGCTGAAACTTCTGGGTGACCAATCATGTCACTTCTTAAAACTCTCCAGTGGAGTCCCACCTCATTCTGGACAAATGCTGAAGTCTTTGCCTTGACCTACAAGGCCCTACATAATCTGGTCCCTAGCTATCCCTGTGACCTCATATAATTTTTCAGACTCTGTCTGTATTTCACTCAGTTGCAGCCACGCTAACTTCTTTGCAGTGAACTGAGTACATTCTGGACTCATGGCCTTGCACTTACTGTTCCCTCTGCCTAAAATGCTGTTCCCCTAGAAACAGAATAATTTCTTCATTCTAGTCTCCATCCAGATGTTCATTCATTCAACAAACTTTTTACTAAGTACCTGTTAACTAAGAGGGCTTCTTTGCTGCTCTATCTGCACTCACTCCTTTGTTGATTGCACCCTGTCTTATGGCTTTACATACCATCTATATGCCAACAACTACCAAACTGTATACAGCCCAGAACTCTCTCCAGAAATCCAGACTCATGTATCCAGCTATCCACTCAGCATCTTCATTTGATTGTGGAATGGATACCTCAAATTCAGATTTCTCAAACTGAGTGAAATGAGCCATTGGAAGTTTTGGAGCATAGGAATGGCATGATCTGATTCTCATTTAATAGGATCACTCTGGCTGCTATTGAAAAAAAACTGAATGGGACGAGGATAGAAACAGGAAAACCAATTAGAAATTTCTTACACACTTCCCATCTAAGATGTTCAAGCTAAAAGTCTTCCATCAGGAAATTGTTTGTCCTACCTTCAAAATATATCCAGAACCTGACCTCTTTTTACTACCACCAGTTTCCATTCTGATGTAAACTATCATTCCTCACCTGGATTATTGCTGTGCTCTCTTAACTTGTCCCTCTACTTCCACCCATACTGTCTTTAGTCTGTTCTCAACAGAGCAGCCACGGTGTTCCTGTTACACATCACATTATGTCATTCCTCTTCAGGACAGGGAGAGAAGTAATGAAAAGTAGAGACAACTCTTTCACATAGTTTAGCTGTAAGGAAAGAAGAGAAATAGGTGGTAACTGGAGGAAAAACTATAGTCAAAAAGGTTTTTTAAGGACAGGTATGTGTCCGGGCTGATTTAAAGATGCAGCAGAAAGGGAAATTGAAGATGAAGAGGAGAGAGGAGGGAATTGCTGGAAGACTGTGCTTGAGTAGCTGAGAGGATTTGAGGTCTAGGATACAAATGGAAGGGTTGACCTTTGCTAGGTAAGAGGGCTGTTCATTTACAGTAATAGGATCAAGTTAGAGTATATGGGCCAGGAACTTCCCTGGCAGTCCAGTGGTTAAGACTTTGCCTTCCAATGCAGGGGGTATGGATTGCACCTCTGATTGGGGAGCTAAGATCCCACATGCCTTGCGGCCAAAAAACCAACACATAAAACAGAAGTAGTATTGTAACAAATGCAATAAAGATTAAAAAGAGAGAGATTTAAAAAAGAGAGAGTATATGGCCCACATGCAAGTAAATGTGTAGATGTTGTGGGAATTTGTGGAAATCCTCTTAAAATGGCGTTTGCTTTTTTTCCAGTGAAACAAAGCAAGATTTTTAGCTGAACGTAAGGATGGAGGGATTGACGATGTGAGGAGAGGGAAGTTATTAAATGGTCATTTGGGAGGGTGGGGGAAATGAATGGACTAGAGAATTGTATCATGTAGGTAGATAGAAGTGTATTATTGTGGTTCACTTGAAGTTAGTGATCATGAATTTAAAATGAGACCAATTAGAGTGATTTCTCTAAAAAAATTAAGGTGTGCAGGGTACAGAAACCAAGTATGCTCAGTGATGGCTGTGGCCCAGATGAGTATAGTTAAGTGAAAAGGGGGCAGAGAAGTTGAGGATATATGCTTGGGTATGATTATAACAAATGGTTGTTCTAGGATGTGAGGGTATGTGGGAATGAAGAGCAGTGAAAATGTAAGATTAATGATTTGTAGGTTCTAGTGGGGTCAAAGAATGATCCTAATTAGGGTATGCATGCTAAGTCACTTCAGTCCTGTCCTACTCTTTGCGACCCCATAGACTATAGCCCACCAGGCTCCTCTTGAAAGGTTGTTGCTGAACGATAAGACGCCGGGATTCTTGGCCTCCAGAGGAGACGAATTCAATCCAGGGCCAGAGACGAGGCTGGATCGCTCAGAGCTTTTGTGTAATAAAGTTTTATTAAAGTATAAAGGAGATAGAGAAAGCTTCTGACATAGGCATCAGAAGGGGGCAGAAAGAGTATCCCCCTGCTAGTCTTCAGCTGGATGTTATATAGTCACTACTGCTACTGCTAAGTCACTTCAGTCATGTCCGACTCTGTGTGACCCCATCCCTGTATAGTCACTAGCAGTCTGTTAATGAAAAGAAAGGAATGTCTTAAAACTCAGAATGGCACCAGATAATTCATCCCAGGCCATAAAACGGTTGACTTGAATCTTGTAGAAGGGCAGATTACCACACAAATAGTTTCGTTTACATAGATTAGGGGAACAATATCTGAGTAAAACATACAGGTTTGTCATGTAGGTTCTGAGCCATTTGAACTTGAAGACAGAGTCTGGGGTACATTAACAAAGCTTAAGACAAACATTTCCATAAGAAAAAATGTATTGGTTAACTCAAGGTTTGAGAATAGTTAGCTTCAGGTGAAACCAGGTGTCATGGCAACACAGCATTTTAAGAGAAACCTCGTTTTAAATTTGTATAGAGAAGGAAAAAAAATATCACCAGTTTGTTTCCTCCTGCTGCTTAAGAGAGATAAAAATGACTGGCACTTGCAGCCTATTTCCTCCATTTGGAGACCCCTGGCCTTCCTGCCTGTTACCCTCTCACTCTGTCCATGGGATTCTCCCGGCAAGAATACTGGAATGGATTACTATGCCTTCCTCCAAGCGATCTTCCCAACCCAGGGCTTGAACCCATGTCTCTTATGTCTCCTGCATTGGCAGGTGGGTTCTTTACCACTAGTGCCACTGGGAAGCCCATCCTGATTAGGGTACCGGGGGAAAAAAATTGCAATATAGGAGGTAAAAGTGAGAGTAGGAGAATTGAGATTATGGGGGGTTTGGTACTAACTGATAATGACAAGGTCTAGGGCATGATCATGAAAGTGACTGTAGAAGTGTGGAAGACAAGCTTATTGGAGAAGGTGGGGTCAGAGAACTGAGAGGCCAGGTTGTTGGAAGGGTTATTTATATGAATATTGAAGTGACCAAAGATTATGTGTAATGGGAGTAGCATTGGAGAAAGTGACAATGAGACAAGATACTAAAGTGTTCAAGGAATGACAGAGAATTGGTATCTACCAGAAACTGGTAGTTAATTAAAAGAAGAAGGGATCATACACAGCTACAGCCTGATTTCATGAGATGGAAAACTAGGTATGTTTTAGGGAAGAGGGTGGACAGTAGTCTGAAAGCAGGTATAAGGAGCTAAGAGGTCACTTACCTCAGCTCCACGTGCTATAGTACAAGGGAATGTGAGAAATAAATCAGTCAGTACATGACAAGGCCTCAGGGGAAGTTGTCTTCTCTGCTGAGAATGATGTGTCTGTAAGGCAAAAAGGTCAAGGGAACTGTTTCTTCAGATGGGTTTGATTATAATTATGAATGGATTTTGAAACCAAGTATTTGGTTAGAGGTCAAATATTTTCAGAGGTTCTTTGTTAGTGGTCAGATATTTGAAGGTTAGAATTTAAGCTCCTTGTATTGACACTGTAATTATTTTCATTGACTGTATAAATAAAGGACTCAGTGAAGAATATGTATATCATATATAAAAAATTTATGTGCTTATTATACATATCTATGTAAGCTAAGGAAAACATTTTTGGAAGCATGTATATGACCAAACAGGAACATTTCTGCAATATATTAGGGATATTATTGCTAGGTCAAAGAGGGAGAAATTCACAAACTACTTCATAAAAAAAAGTTACTGAGTGTTGAAAAACATTTTAAGAATACTTAATTTTCTTGCTCAGTTGCTAAGTTGTGTCCAACTTTTTGTGACCCCACGGGCTGTAGCACACCAAGCTTCTCTGTCCTTCACTATCTCCCAGCGTTTGTTCAAACTTTATTTTGTAGATAGTTTTTTTAACTATGACAAAATTAAATAAAATGCCCAATAAAATAATCTTCTTGGTTTGACAGATTCACCTCTTTTAATTTTGTAAAAAAAAAAAAACCCAGAAAATAATTTACATGTGTGTATATATCCCCACACACAAACATAGTATGTATATTAGTTTTCATTAGATGGTCACATTATGGAAACCTGGAATCCAGCTGAATCATAGCATAACTCCAGGTTTTTAAGAACTTTGCTTAGCCCATGTAGGCCAAAATAGTATTATAAATGGAAGAGTCATTTTTCTTTTTTTTTAAATAAAAAGTTTTATTGGAGAAAAATAGAACCACCATGTACACAGGGAAATGAGCACAAAAATTCAACTGATACAGAACTGAAAATCACAACTACCCAATGTTGTTTGTGATTACTTTTCAGTTTCTTAAATGGCTTCCCGCAATTTTTTAAATAGTCTTGCCAATTTTTTTCAGCTGAAATAGCATCAAGTTTTCAAAAAATTAAGAGCCTCAGCAAAGGGACCGGCTTTTAAGATAACAAAGGTGACACCAAGAGTCTCCTAATAGGACCAATTCTACCAAAAAATTCCAGAAGCACATAACTACTGAGTCTGGTAGAACAGTAGCTCAGAGACCATCAGGGATTAGTTAGAACACTGACTCAGATGGTCCAGTATGCAGAGAGGGCAAACAAAAAAACTGCATTTCCCTGTCAGATGAGTTCATGTAAGAAAACCAAGGAGATGCTAAGAAAATGCAGGCAATGGCTGCTCAAAATAATTAATAAGGCATTCTAAATACCACATATTATTAGACAACAGTGTGTAGAGTGATGCAATTAGAAAATGGGCAACTTAAAAATATGGTCACAGGTCTTTGAGAACTCAGGAAAACAATCAATAGCAAACACAAGAGCTGAAAGTCTTCTCAGCTGAAGGGTGAAAGTGAAAGTGAAGTTGCTCAGTCGTATCCAACTCTTTATGGTGGACTGTAGCCCACCAGGCTCCTCAGTCCATCGGATTCTCCAGGCAAGAATACTGGAGTGGGTTGCCATTTCCTTCTCCAGGAAGATTCATTTCTTTACACAAAATTTTAAGTATTCTGGATTAAAGTATTTGCATTTTAATGGAATTGATGATTTGTTTTGCTTGGTATAATACAATTTTGGGAGATACAGTAAGCACTTTATGGTCTCATTTTACATCCTCTTATAGCTTCTTGACTTTTACAAAACATTCATTCATTAACTCAGTTTATTCAGCAAATATTTGAATAAGCCTCATGTGTGCCAGATACTATTCTGTAACTGGGATATAGCAGTGACCAAAACAAAAACATACTCTGCCCTCATGGGCTTTATATTTTAGTGGAGGTGGGGAGCAGACAATAAATAACAGAATAATTAAGTACCATGGTTAAAAATAAGCAGGGTTAGGGGAATAGGGAACTGGGATAAGAACATTGCTGTTTTTATACAGAATGGTCTGAGAAATACAAAAGCCCTGGGGGGAACATTTTGCACATCTGAAGGTGTATCTGGGAGCCCCGTGTGCCTGGGACAGAATGAATGAGGTGAGTATGGGAAGAGATAAGGTTATTTCATTTCATTTCAGGAGTTGGTGACCTTCAGAGATGTGGCTGTAGACTTCTCCCAAGAGGAGTGGGATTGCCTAAATCCTTCTCAAAGGCATCTGTACAGTAATGTGATGTTGGAGAACTACAGGATCTTGGTATCACTGGGTAAGAATGTCTTTTGTAAAACTGAGCTTCTACTCATAGAGTATCGTGATTTTGGGGGTTAGCATCTGTAGTGCTTGGTTGAATGTCTGCTGCCTGTGCCAAAGTAACAGGTTAATATTTGTGAATTGGCAGTGAATGGGTCTGTTATTAATCTGTGTTGGAAGTTTCAGCTTCCCTGTCCATTGTATGCATGTCCTCATCACATTTTTCTCTGGCTTACTTTAAGCTCCCTCTTCCCCAGTGATCAAATAATTGGATATGAGCTCTCAGTTATCTACAGCATGACCAAATTTGGTTTCTTTTCATATACGCAGGACTTTGCTTTTCTAAACCAAGTGTGATATTATTGTTGGAACAAGGGAAGGAGCCCTGGATGGCGAAGAGAGAGATGACAAAAGACTTGTACTCAGGTGAGTAAAGAGGAAATAGGCAGGCAAAAACCTTTGCAGGGTACAGCCCAGCTTGACTCAAAGGTAGCACCTCTTCACTCTGTTGTTGGCATGTTCCTCTCAAATGTTCTAGGTCTTAGTAGAAACTTGAGTCCTTTGAGGTTGTTCTCCGAAAGCTGATAGTCTGAACTGTCTCTCCTTGCCCACTTTACCCCCTCTTTTCTGAGTCCCCTTACTTTTCTAGTTTCATAAGCATCTTCCAGCCTTTTTGTTCTGTTTTTGTTTTAATTTTGGCTAAGCTGGGTCCTTTTGCAGCACACATGCTTTCTCTAGTTTCGGCTCAAGAGCTTCTCTTGTTGCAGTGCAAAGGCTTCTCCTTGTGGTATGTGGGTTTCTCTTGTTTCAGAGCTTGGGCCCAAGAGCTTGGGGGCCCAGTAGTGGTGGCGCGTGGGCTTAGCTGCTTCGCAGCCTATGGAATCTTTGCATCCATTGAATTGGAATGCAGATTCTTAACCACTGGACCACAAGGGAAGTCCCCTCTTCCAGTCTTTACCAAGCTCAGGTACACAAGCCTCCCTCAGCCCTGTGTCTGGCCCTCCATATTCTGTCTGCCTGAAATTTCAAAATAAAGCTTTCAACATCCAAAGGAAAAAAAAAAAAAGAATATTTTCTTAATCTGATGACCTTTTGAGCTCTATGCACAGCTGTAACTAAAGTAACAAGTTCATACCCTGACACCTACATGAAGTGAAAATTTGAGCAACTGACTTAATCTCTCTGTGCTTTTGTTTTCTCATCTGTAAACTAGGATAATATTTTTAAAGTACTTTCAGCAGTTCCTATCTCATATTGTAAGTTCAAAAGCTGTTAGCTACTAGTATTATAATAGTAGTAATTTATCTCTGAATGCCTCATTTTTCTCTTAATGGTCAGTTCATTCATTCTTTTAATCAAGATTATTGAATTTGTACTTTAAACAAGGTACTTGCAAGATGCTAAGGTGTTATACAAAAATGTAAAAAATCAAATAATTTATAGGCTTGTAGAAGAAATACAATATAGCTGTAAACAGCATATATAAAAAGAAAGCTGATATAAAGGAAACTCAGAGAGAGGTGAGAGAGGAATCTGGTTAATTGAGAAGATAGTCTTTAACAAAAACACAGGTTAGAAACTAGAAAACATTTAAGAGAGAAGAGGTGAAAACATTTAAGAGAGAAGAGGTTAAGAGTTTAGCTTTGTGGTATAGGAAGGATTTTCATACAGACATAGGATGCATTCAGGTAAAATGGAAGACTAAAGTTCAGAAGAAAATTAGGGTCCCTGTAAACATCTCTGTCAATACTACTCCCCATCTCATTCCACCCCCATCTCAACTACCTCTCCCCAAACTTTTATGTTCTTGTTCAGATTTCTAAGAAAAAATTTTGATGTGGAACTGTAGTGTCAAAGAAGACAGGGCTAAATTTTATTAATTATTATTATTAAATATAAATTACACACACATAAATATATATTAGCCTAAATATGTAGTTTAAGTAATAATATAACAAAAAATGAACCTATTTCTTAACTTAAGAAATAGAAGATTATCAGCGCCATTTTAGGCCTTTGAGGGTCCCTTGTTAGTGAAGTATCGCTCCCTACCTTTGGCCCATCCCTACCCCTCACTAGGGTAACCATTATCCTACAACTTTGCTTATCATTTCTTGACTTTTCTTTGTAGTTTTGCCATATATATCCCTAAGCAAAATATTTATATTTGCATATTTTCAATTTCTTATGAAAATGGAAATACATTGTGCTGGTAATTCTGACTTTTTCAACTCAAAATTATTTTTCTCTGATTCTTCTATATTGATTTTAGTCACTATTTTTCATTGAATTTTTTTCTTGGTGAAATGTAATATATTCCACTGTGAAAATCATAATTTATCCACTAAAGGGCATTTGAATTGTTTCAGTCTTCTGTTATTATAAATGTTACTGCTATGAACCTTATTACATGTGACTGATGGTGCACATATGCTGGAGTTCATGTAGAGAATATAGCCAGGAATTTACTGCATAATGCGACTTTACTTTCAAGATTATTTGTACTAACTTACGTTGCTGATAGCTGTGTGTGAAAGTATTCACTGCTCCATACTGAGAATTAACAAATTTAAAATTTGTTGCAAATTTGACATATGTGAAATATTTACTTATACTTGTCATCTGAATTTCCTTGATTACTAAAAAATATTTGGCATCTTTTTATATTTATAAAAGGCTATTTTGATTTCCTCTTCTGTTAAGTGCCTGCTCAGTCCTTTGTTCAGTTTTAGAGATATATATATTTTTATGAGGTATTGTTGATGTACATATATTTCAGGTATATGACATAGTGATTCAGTATTTTTATAGATTATACTTCATTGAAAGTTATTATAAAATATCGGCTGTCCTCCCTGTGCTATACAATATATCCTTGTTGCTTTTATTTATTTATTTGGCCACACTATGCAACTGGTGGGATCTTAGTTCCCCAGTCAGTGTTCAAACCTGGGCCTATGGTAGTGAAAGCACAAATCTTACACTCCCAGTATGTCATATCTTTATCCATTCATCTGTTAATGAACAGTTAGGCTGTTGTAAACAATGCTGCTATGAACACTGAGGTGCTTGTATCTTTTTGAATTAATGTTTTCATTTTCTTTGGATATATACCCAGGAATGGAATTACTAGATCATATGGTAGTTTTCTGATCATATTTAGTTTTCTGAGGAACCTCTGTACTGTTTTCCACAGTAGCTGTACCATTTTACATCCCTACCAACAGTGTAGGAGGGTTCCATTTTCTTCACATTCTCACCATCATTTGTTATTTCTGGTCTTTTTAATGATGACCATTCTGACAGGTATGAGATGATATCTCATTGTAGTTTTGATTTGTGTAGCCTATGATTTTTGATATTTTAAGAAACCTTTCTGTATTCTGAAGTCATATGGGTATTCTCAAACTGAAGAATCTTCTTTACATTTAGTGCCACAGTCTAAAAATTGATTTTTGAGATTAAAGTATTTAATTTCTACTCCTATGGAAAATCAAGTGTCCTAGACATTTACTGAAGAAGTGAGCTTTCTTTGCTTATTGTCCTGAATGTTCCCTCTTAATATATCAGGTTATATTGGGTTGGCCAAAATCTTCGTTTGGATTTTTAGTAAGATGCTACAGAAAACCCAAATGAACTTTTTGGCCAACCTAATAGTATATTTATGAATCTGATTTTGACCTCTGCTGCATTCCATTGATTCTGTTTCCTTTTGCCAGTACCACACTATTTTTTTTTAATTTATATATTTTTAATTGGAGGATAATTGCTTTATAGTATTGTGTTGGTTTCTGCCATATATCAGTGTGAATCAGCCATAGGTGTACATATGTCCCCTCTCTCTTGAAAAGTACCACACTATCTTAAAAAAAATTTTAATGTAAAAACTGAATATTTATTAGAGTAAATCCCTGTACCTTTATTGTTCTTCAGAATTTGCCCTTTGGACATCTAACTGAAGTTTAGGTCAGCTTGTCAGTTTCCACCAGAAAACAAGAAAAAGCTATTGGGTTTTGGTTTAAATTTTATTTATTCTACATACTGATTTTTTTTTCCATTTGTAAACATAGTTTATTTTTCCGTTTACTTAGATTTTTAAATTCTTTCAATGTGTTTTATAATTTTCTCTATAAAGGCTACACACATCTTCTATTAGGTTAATTTCTAGACATTTAAATTTTGTTCTGTGTTAAACGTTCTCTGTGTTTTCAGCTTGTTGCTCATACACAGAAATAAAGTTAACTTTTATATTTTGACCCTATATCTAGCAACATTGGAAAACTCGCATTACTATTAGTATTTTTAGATTTCCTTTTCTTTTTTTGTCGGTGGGTATGTCTGTGAATAATGGCAGTTTCTTCACTTTAAATTCTTAATCCTTAATTTCTTTTTTCTATTATCCTTAGATCGCCAATACAGTATGAATCAAAGTAGTGATGGCAGGTATTTTTATCAATTTCTGGTCTCAACTGAAGTGCTTTGTATATGCTAAGTCACTTCAGTCGTGTCCAACTCTTTGCGACCTTATAAATTATAAGCCCATGAGGCTCCTCTGTCCATGGGGATTCTCCAGGCAAGAATACTGGAGTAGGTTGCCACGCTGTCCTCCAGGGGATCTTCCCAACCCAGGGATTGAACCCACGTCTCCTGCATTGGCAGGCAGGTTCTTTACCACTGCGCCACCTAGGAAGTGCTGTAATATTTTGTTATTAATAATTCTGATGTTTAAAGGTTTCTGGTAGATACCCTTTCATTACCATTTGTTAAGAGTTTTGATTGTAGAAAGCTTTTGAATTTCAATAAATGTTTTTCTATATCTGTAGGTGATTAGATGATGTTTTCTTTTTTATGTAGTGAATTATATTTTTAATGTTGAACCCATCTTGTATTCCTGAGACAGACCTATCTTTATCTTTTCCATTCATAGCTAGTTGCTATCTGCCAGTATTTTCTTTAGGTTTTTTGCATCTGTGTTTGTCAGTGAGGTTGGCCTTCAGTTTTCCTTTTGTGTACTCCTCGTCAGATCTTAGAATCAAAGTTGTTCTAATATCATAAAATCTTTTTCTTCCTTAGAAGATTTTGGGTAAAATAAATGTTTGTTTTTGGATGTCTGGTAGAACTTTGTTCATGTTGGCCTGGTATTTTTTATGTATGAAAAGAATTTAATAATTCAATTTCTGTTATAAGAATCTATTTTTTATTTCTCCTATAGTTGTGGAGTTACGGTATTTTTCTAAAGATTTATACTTCTCATGTAAGTTTTCAAATTTATTAAAGTTATTATTTTCTCTTATCTAAAGTTGGTAGTATATGTAACCATTGGAGAAGGCAGTGGCACCCCGCTGCAGTCCTCTTGCCTGGAAAATGCCATGGACGGAGGAGCCTGGTGGCTGCAGTCCATGGGGTCTCTGAGTTGGACACGACTG